GCCCACTGGGCAGGTGTTCGAGCAAGGGAAGGAGGGGCAAATCCTTAGGAAATGCAACTAGGTTTCATCCTCAGTGCTAGGAGGGTGTGGGGTTTGTGGAGAGGAAGAGGAGGAGGAGGAGGAAGAAGAGGAGGAGGAAGAGGAAATGGAAGAAGAAGTCACAGGAAAAGGAAGAAGAAGAAGAAGAAGAAGAAGAAGAAGAAGAAGAAGAAGAAGAAGAAGAAGAAGAAGAAGAAGAAGAAGAAGAAGAAGAAGAAGAAGAAGAAGAACTGCTGTGAGGTCCTTGGTGTCCTTTGAGCTTGATGGTTTTCTTGCAGATGTTTCATGATCCAACTAGGGAACATCATCAGTGCTAGCAGGGAAGGGGGTTTGTGGAGAGGAGGAGGAGGAGAAGGAGGAGGAGGATGGCGGCTGTGGTGTCCTTGGTGCTCTTTGAACTGGGTGGTTTTCTTGCAGACCTTTCATGACCCAACTAGGGAACATCATCAGTGCTAGAAGGGTGTGGGGCTTTGTGGAGAGGTTAGGAAGAGGAGGAGGAGGAGGAGGAGGAGGAGGAGGAGGAGGAGGAGGAGGAGGAGGAGGAGGAGGAGGAGGAAGAAGAAGAGGTGGAGGTGGTGGTGGTGGTGGAGGAGGAGGAGGAGGACGATGACTGTTGCATCCTTGGTGCTGTCTGAGCTTGGTAGTTTTCTTGCAGAACTTTCATGACCCAACTAGGGAACATCATCAGTGCTAGAAGGGAGTGGGGTTTGCTCTCAATTTATATCCTAATGGCTTGCCCTCTCAGTATCGCTGGGAGTGTCCTTGGGGGCTCCTTGACTAGCTTTTGTTTACTGTTTGATTGTTTGTCTGAGTTGGTAATTCCTTGACTGGGGTATCGTTTCCTGTTGGGCGTTAACCTCCGGGTGTTGACTGCTGACCAGGATTGCGGCAGTTTGACTTTTCCATTGGCTCTTTTGAGTGGCATGTAGACGTCGTTTCTCTGTTTGTGCCTGTCGATGGCTGACTTGCCGGAGTGCCAGGCCCCCACCTATCCTCTGGTGCTTTTGGAATTAGCTTTGTCTGGATTGCACACCGTTTCCCACGAGATGTCCTTCCTCTCCAAGCACGCCTGCGCCTCTAGAGAGCCCAGGGCACAACCTCCGCCAGCGATGGCGTCTATGTGAACATTAAACTGGAGACAAGCTTGGGGATCAGCTCAGCCCCAGCCCTGGCTGCTCCCTCCCCAGCCCGCCTCGCCTCCCGCAACCCTGACAGGGCTGAGATCAGGGCAAAAAGAGGGCTGTCACGACGTAATTTATGGCCGGAATGGCTTCTAGGAAGGGAAGCCGATGGTTCACTAGCAAACTGTCAGCTCAGATTCATTGTCAAACGAGGCGGGAGTTGGAAGCCATTTCATCAACAAAAGAAGTTTTGTTCATTAGAAGTGCCATGTTAAGAGCCACAGAGGCTGTTGGGAACCTCCCGTGGAACGTCCAGCTGCTTTGGAGAACATTTTATTCTCCAAAGCACCCATAGGCAGGACAAGAAACTCATCAAGGAGAGAAGCAACCTGGAACTAAGGAGAAACTTCCTGACAGTGAGGATAATTAACCAGTGGAACTACCTGCCTCCAGAAGCGGTGAATGCTCCAACACTGGAGATAGTCAAGAAGAGACTGGACAGCCATTTGTCTGAAATGGTATAGGGCCGTGATGGCAAACCTATGGCACGCGTGCCACAGGTGGCACTCAGAGCCCCCTCTGTGGGCACGCGCACCGTCGCCCCAGTTCTAGGCCTTCAGCTGGGTTTTATAAAACTTTTTCACTTTAGGCCTCCGCCGCCATGTGCAAAAAAAAAAAAAAGAGGTTCAATCAATCAATTTCAACTTCTCACGGGAAAAAAAAAGATCTCGCAAAGTTGGAATTGATTGATTGAACTTTTTAGTCCCATCCAGTCTGCCGTTACCATTGCAGCCACGCCCACCCAATGGGGCACGCCCACCCGGCACCCAACAATACATAAGTGGGTTTTGGGTTGCAGTTTGGGCACTCGGTCTCTAAAAGGTTCGCCATCACTGGTATAGAGTTTCCTGCCTGAGCAGGGGGTTGGACTAGATGACCACCAAGGTCCCTTCCAACTTTATTATTATTATTATCATCCGTGATCCAGAATTCAACCCCAAGGAAATCATAGTGCTGCAGAGTTGCAAGCTATCTTCAAGAAGAGTTTAGTTGAGGGATCGCTTAAGCTTGGCGATTCTGGGATGGATAAACATCAACTCGCAGAATTCCCAGATAACATGGGTGGACTATAACTCCCAGAATCCCTTGTCCAGCATGGGATGGACTTCGGCTCCCAGAATCCCCCATCCAGCATGGGTGGGTGCCAACACCCAGAATCCCCCAACCAGCATGGGGTGAACTTCGACTCCCAGTTTTATTTCTGTAACCTGCCGAGAGTCCACGAAAGTGAATTGGGCAGCCATGTACATTTTTTTAATAAAGTAAAAATAAATCCCTTTTGATGTGCTGTCCTTTCTTACTTACTATGAGGCTGAGACTCTAGAAAGGGTGCAGAGAAGAGCCAGAAAGATGATGAGGGGACTGGAGGATTAAAACAAACGAAGGATGTTGCAGGAACTGGGTAGGTCTAGTTCAGGGGTCTGCAAATGTGGCCCTTTTGTGACTTGTGGACTTCAACTCCCAGAATTCCTCAGCCTGGCTGAGGAATTCTGGGAGTTGAAGTCCACAAGTCATAAAAGGGCCACGTTTGAAGACCCCTGGTCTAGTTTAATGAAAAGAAGGACTAGGGGGTGACATGATAGCAGTCTTCCAATATTTGAGGGGCGATCAATCTATTCTCCAAAGCGCCCAAAGGCAGGACAAGAAGCAACGGATGGAAGCGAGGGGGGACAGGATAGCAGTCTTCCAATATCTCAGGGGCTGCCCCAAAGAAGAGGGAGTCAAGCTGTTCTCCAAAGCACCTGAATGCAGGACAAGAAGCAACGGATGGAAACCAATCAAGGAGAGAAGCAACCTAGAAGTAAGGAGAAACTTCCTGACAGTGAGAACAATTAACCAGTGGAACAACCTGCCTCCAGAAGCGGTGAATGCTTCAATCCTGGAAGTTTTTAAGAAGAGACTGGACAGCCATTTGTCCGAAATGGTATAGGGTTTCCTGTCTGAGCAGGGGGTTGGACTAGATGACCTCCAGGGTCCCTTCCACCACCACCACCACCTCTGTTATTTTGTTGTCCTGTTAAGCTCTCCTAACAGAAGTGGGGGGGAGGCAGGGGCTGGACTAGAAGACCTCCAAGGTCCCTTCCAATTCTGTTGTTCTGTTTGTTTGTTTAATACTAATGAGAAATGTGGCTTTCTTTTTTTCCTTTTTTGCTAATTCTGGGCAAGGATCGTTCTGGCTTCGCTTTTGTCTGATCTCTTCTGAAAGCTTTCGCTTCATTGACCGATGCGTAGCCTTGGCTTCGACAGAAAGCCCCTCCCAAGAAAGGCAAGTGTAGCAGCATTGTCGCCCGGGAGGACCCAGAAATGATTTTTGATGGATCCCAGGACGCCAGCAACAGGCCAGGCGAACAGATGGTGGCACTCTGTGGCGGGTGGCAATGGCGGGTGCAAGCAAACTGGCGTTTTGGTCACATGCGCCTCATGCGATGTGGGGGCCACGGTGCACGATCTGCTCTCGGGAAGCTTTCCAGGGCCTGTGACTACGTTTATGGATCAACTGTTTCTTCTGAATTTCGGTATTGTTCAAAAAGGAAAAAAGGAAAACCAGAAGAAGGAAACGAAAGAAAAAGATAATTATAAGGCCAACGGATACCGAAACGACGCCTAAAAAGTGTTTTTAAAAAGTAATAATAAATAATAATAATAATAATAATAATAATGTTGGAAGGGACCTTGGAGGTCATCTAGTCCAGCCCTCTGCTCAAGCAGGAGAATCTATACCAGGGGTAGGCAACCTCAGCTCTTTTATGACTCGTGGACTCCAACTCCCAGAATTCCTGAGCCAGCCATGCTGAGGGGAAAGGGAGAAGTTTCTAAGCTGAGCCAGGCTGGATCAGGAATTCTGGGAGTTGAAGTCCACGAGTCATGAAGGGGCCATAGTTCCCCCATGCTGGATCAGGAATTCTGGGAGTTGAAGTCCATGAATCATGAAGGGGCCATAGTTCCCCCATGCTGCCTCAGGGATTCTGGGAGTTGAAGTCCACGAGTCATGAGGGGGCTGTAGTTCCCCCATCCTGGCTCAGGAATTCTGGGAGTTGAATTTCCAGTTCCAACAACCCTTCCTTATATGTTTTAGCCTCCAGTCCCCTAATCATCTTTGTTGCTCTTCTCTGCCTTCTTTCCAGAGTCTCAGCATCTTTCTTACTTCGTGGTGACCAAAACTGGATGCAGTGAAAAGAATACGACAGAAAAAAAAAATCAAGGTATATCAGTATAGCAATTAATGACGTGCCTCCAGAAGTTGTGAGTGGTCCAACCCTGGAGGTTTTCGAGGAACGACTGGACAATCATTCGCCCGGCATTGTATAAGGGCAGGGGGGTTGGACTAGATGACCTCCGAGTTCCCTTCCAGCCCTTGGATTCTACCAATCCTTTTCGGTTCCCGTTCGGTATCCAGCTCAGCCCCCCGTTTCTTTGCAAGCGCTTCCCGCGTGGCGAGCCCGAAACAGCCGCCTCTCTGCACAGCTTAAGATCAGCGGCCGGATGCATCACGAGAGATAAAGATCATTCTTTTGCCTCACATAATGAGGCCTTATGAAAGATGGCTTCCTAAATTTGGAAAGCGGCCCCGGATCCTAATCAGAGACGGTCTGTTCTCGTTCGGATGAGAGGCCGTCCCTGGAGACCCAGAGCTGCACCTGGAAAGCCGAGCCGAGGGCACACGGCCATGATTGGAATTGCAGTTCTGCCTGAGCGGTTGTCGTTTTCTTCATATTTGATTCTCTCTCTCTCTCTCTCTCTCTCTCTCTCTCTCTCTCTCTCTTTTAATACTTTCTTCTTCTTCTCCTTCTCCTTCTCTATCTTCTCCTTTTCCATCTTCTCCTTCTCCTCCTTCTCCTCTTCCTTCTCCTCCTCCTCTTCTTCCTCTCCTCCTCTTCCTCCTCCTCCTTCTTCTTCTTCTTCCTCCTCCTCTCTTCCTCTTCCTCCTCTTCCTCCTTCTTCTTCCTCCTCTTCCTCGTCCTCCTTCTTCTTCCTCTTCCTCCTCCTCCCTCCTCCTCCTCCTCTTCCTTCTCCTCCTCCTCCTCCTCCTCCCCTTCCTCTTTCTTCTCCTCTTCCTCCTCCTCCTCCTTCTTCTTCTTCCTCCTCTTCCTCCTCCTCCTCTTCCTCCTCCTCCTTCTTCTTCTTTCTCTCCTCCTCCTTCTTCTCCTCTTCCTCCTCCTCCTCCTTCTTCTTCCTCCTCTTCCTCCTCCTCCTCTTCCTCCTCTTCTCCTCCTCCTCTTCCTCCTCCTCTTCTTCTTCTTCTTCTTCTTCTTCCTCCTCTTCCTCCTCCTCCTCCTCCTCCTCCTTCTTCTTCTTCATAGGTTTTGTGACACTGGGCAGTGTACAAAAAAAAAGACTTCACCATAATTAGTGCAGAGTGCAGAGCAGAGCCACAAAGATGATCAGGGGACTGGAGGCTAAAACATATGGTAAACAATGGTTGCAGGAATTGGGGATGTCTAGTTTAATGAAGAGAAGGACCAGGGGTGACATGAGAGCAGTCTTCCAGTATCTGAGGGGCTGCCCCAAAGAAGAGGGAGTCAAGCTAGTCTCCAAAGCGCCTGAAGGCAGGACAAGACAGTCACTTATCTGAAATGGTATACCTCCAAGGTCCCTTCCAGCTATATTCTATCCTAATATTCTAATATTGCAACGGATGGAAAGTCATCAGGGAGAGAAGCAACCTGGAACTAAGGAGAAACTTCAAGACAGTGAGGACAATTAACCAGTGGAACAACCTGCCACCAGAAGCTGTGAATGCTTCAACACTGGAAATATTTAAGAAGAGACTGGATAGCCATTTGTCTGAAAATGTATAGGGTTTCCTGCCTGAGCGGCGAGTTGGACTAGATGACCTCCAAGGTCCCTTCCAATATCATCATCATCATTACTTACACTGAAGCTCAAAGAGAAAGAAGATACAGAATATTTTCAAACATGGAATTTATTTTTATCAATGGTTGGGAGGGAAAAAAGAGGTAGAGACTAAGAATCTAACTTGTAACATGAAGCAAACAAATTAAAACCCAGACGATGTTTATTAAGCACTAATCAAATGTAATAATAGAAATGGACAGTCTTGCATTGAGGATCAAAGAGAAAGAAGATAATAGAATATTTTTAAACATGGAATTTATTTTATCAATGGTTGGAAAGAAAAAAAAGGGGGGTAGAGACTAAGAACGTAACTTGTATTACGAAGCAAACAAATTAAAAGCCAGACAACACGTTGTTTGTTAAGCAATAATCAAATGTAATAATAGAAAATTAATATTTTTTTGTAAAAAAAAGGGAGGGGATCACGTGACCACTGGAACCACTGCAACGGTCATTAAATAGGAACCTGTTGCCGACCGTCCAAATTTGGATCAGCGGAGCATGGTGAATTCTGCGATGATCAGAAGGGTGGAAAAACAGACACAAGTTACTTCTTTCAGCGCAGTTGTGACTTCAGTCGCAGAATGAATGTCAACGCTGCAACAAATTGAAAAGAAGCCCTTTTTTCTTCCTTTTTCAGTTGCCACAGATTTAGAAAGGGAAGGGAGGAGAGAATGTAATTTGAAATTAGCCAAAACAATTCTGAGCTGTGGGAACCAAGGTCACTAACTGATTACATTTTGGCTGGCTAGAGGTCGGGGAAGAGAGCCTGCATTTTGCAATAATTGGTGAATGTGATTTATGACAAATAATAATAATAATAACAACAACAACAAGAAGAAGAAGACCTGGCAATGGCTAAGAGCAGGAAAATTGAAGAAAGGGACCGAGGGACTAATTCTGGCTGCACAAGACCAAGCCTTAAGGACATATGCATATAAAGTCAAAATTGAGAAGACAGCAACAAACAGTAAGTGCTGCCTATGCAAAGAAGCTGAAGGTGTGGTCTCCCGCAGGCGGGACCAGAACCCAGTGTCCCCCACTCTCTGCCTGCTACCTTCAGCACTAAGCCAAATTGATAATATTAGTGGTTGCCAGCTGCCGTTTTCAGGCTCAATCTAACTATCTTGTTTTTGGATTCTGGGCAGGCGCCAAGTTCCCCATCAAGTGGACGGCCCCCGAAGCCATCAACTATGGGTCCTTCACCATAAAGTCCGATGTGTGGTCCTTCGGCATCTTGCTGATGGAGATCATCACCTATGGGCGGACCCCGTATCCAGGTATGTAGCAGGAAAGCTTGACCTTGCCTAGAAAACAGTTAAGATGGCCTCACTTCTTTGGTTTCATCCAGCAAGACTCCAATAATAATAATAATAATAATAATAATAATAATAATAATAATAATAATAATAATAATAATGAAGATGCCCCACAAGACCAAGCCTTAAGGACAAATGCATACAAAGTCAAAATTGAGAAGACAGCAACAGACAGTAAGTGCCGCCTATGCAAAGAAGCTGAAGAAACAGTGGACCACATGGTAAGCTGTTGCAAGAAGATTGCACAGACTGACTACAAGCAGTGGCATGACAAAGTAGCAACAATGGTGCATTGGAAGATCTGCAAAAAATATCATTTGCCTGCAAGCAAAAACTGGTGGGATCATAAAATAGAGAAAGTCATAGAAAATGATAAAATTAAACTGCTCTGGGACTTCAGAATTCAAACAGACAAGCACTGCAACATAACACCCCAGACTTAACAATTGTCGATAAGAAAGACAAAAAAGTCTGGATAGTGGACGTGGCAGTGCCTGGAGACAGCAGAATAGACGAGAAAGAACTGGAGAAGATAACAAAATACAAAGACCTACAAATAGAATAGAAAGACTGTGGCAAAAGCAAGCAAGGGTAGTACCAATAGTGATAGGCTCCTTGGGTGCAATCCCAAAACAACTGGAGCACCACTTGAACACCATTGGCATTGACAAATTCTCTATTAGTCAATTGCAAAAGGCGGCCTTACTAGGAACTGCTTCCATCCTGTGACGATATCTATAATACCATCAAACATCCACATCTGCCTATCCCAGGTCCTGGGTAAGGACTCGATAGATAGACAAAATGCCAAATCCAGTCTGAACATCTGGCTGACTGTGCGATGATCCATAATAATAATAATAATGTTGGAAGGGAACTTGGAGGTCATCTAGTCCAACCCCCTGCTCAGGCAGGAAACCCTATATACCATTTCGGACAAATGGCTGTCCAGTCTCTTCCTGAAAACTTCCAGTGTTGGCAAATTCACCACTTCTGGAGGCAGGTTGTTCCACTGGTTAATTGTTCTAACTATCAGGAAGTTTCTCCTTAGTTCTAGGTTGCTTCTTTCCTTGATGAGTTTCTCCATCTGTTGCTTCTTGTCCTGCCTTTGGAGGTGCTTTGGAGAATAGCTTGACTCCCTCTTCTTTGGGGCAGCCCCTGAGATACTGGAAGACTGCTATCCTGTCCCCGCTCGTCCTTCTCTTCATTAAACTAGACAAATCCAATTCCAGCTACCGTTCCTTATATGTTTTAGCTTCCAGTCCCCTAATCATCTTTGTTGCTCTTCTCTGCACTCTTTCTAGGGTACAGTTAGGGTGGGGATAGTATAGTCTTGAGTTCACCTTTGTTTGTATGTTTGTAGCCAAATTAAAAAAAAATGTTCTTTAAGGAAAATTTCTCTGCCTTAAAAATTCTTTTCATTGGTCTCACCTATCGGAACCATGACACTGAACTGTATCCATTCCTGTATGTTGAATTCAGCCATGTGGTTGGTGCATCAGGACAATCCAGGCAATTGGGCTAATGGTGTAAAAACCATGGTTAAATGTACATTGCAGACCCAAGGGAGCTGGGGGGGGGAAGAATCCATTAGCTATTGGAAAAAAAATGTCCTTTTTTTCCATAGCCCCACGCATTTGCAACTGAATTGGTCCTTCAGGAGCACTGTAAACACGCAGTATAAATAATAAATGCACACAGACATAGGAACAGGATGAAAAGCAGAGCGAACAGTATTAGCACACCGTTATTAAAAAATAATAATAATACACATAGGCTTCCTGTAAAAAAAAAATAAGGATGTGAATGGGTTGGAAAACCAATCAGGAAAAGTGCTTTGGGTCTCTCAGGATCCTGACATTCATTCAAGTAGCCGTGCACGAGGATCAGACTGAACACCGAAGCCTGAATGTTGCATTCACACAACATGCTGATTGCTGACAGAGTGAGAGCACCAAGGACCCCACAGTCGTCCTCCTCCTCCTCCTCCTCTCCACAAACCCCTCCTCCCTTCTAACACTGATGATGCTACCTAGTTGGGTAATGAAATGCCTGCAAGAAAACAAGCAAGATCAGAGGACCCCAAGGGGACTGGAGGCTAAAGCATACAAGGAATGGTTGCTGGAACTGAGTATGTCTAGTTTAAGGAAGAGAAGGACGAGGGGGGACAGGATAGCAGCCTTCCAGTATCTCAGGGGCTGCCCCAAAGAAGAGGCAGTCAAACTATTCTCCAAGGCGCCTGAAGGCAGGACAAGAAGCAACGGGTGGAAACTAATCAAGGAGAGAAGCAACCTAGAACTAAGGAGAAACTTCCTGACAGTGAGGACAATTAACCAGTGGAACAACCTGCCTCCAGAAGCAGTGAATGCTCCAACACTGGAAGTTTTTAAGAAGAGACTGGACAGCCATGTGGCTGAAATGGTATAGGCCTATAGGGTTTCCTGCCTGACCAGGGGGTTGGACTAGATGACCTTCAAAGTCTCTTCCAACTTTATTATTATTATTATTATTATTATTATTATTATTATTATTATTATTGATCATCGCACAGTCAGCCAGATGTTCGGACTGGATTTGGCATTTTTGTCTACCTATCGAGTCCTTACCAATCTCAAAACAACTGGAGCACCACTTGAACACCATCATTGGCATTGACAAATTCGCCATTAGTCAATTGCAAAAGGCAGCCTTACTAAGAACTGCTTCCATCCTGCGACGAGATCTTTAATACCATCAAACATCCCCATCTGCCTATCCCAGGTCCTGAGTAAGGACTCGATAGGTAGACAAAATGCCAAATCCAGTCCGAACATCTGGCTGACTGTACGATGATCAGTAATAATAATAATAATAATAATAATAATAATAATAATAATAATAATAATACAGTTGGAAATGACCTTGGAGGTCATCTAGTCCAACCCCCTGCTCAGGCAGGAAACCCTATACCATACCAGACAAATGACTGTCCAGTCTCTTCTTAAAAACGTCCAGTGTTGGAACACAACTTCTGGAGGCAGGTTGTTCCACTGATTAATTGTTCTGTCAGGAATTTTCTCCTTAGTTCCAGGTTGCTTCTCTCCTTGATTGGTTTCCATCAGTTGCTTCTTGTCCTGCCTTCAGGTGCTTTGGAGAGTGGCTTGACTCCCTCTTCTTTGTGGCAGATACTGGAAGACTGCTATCATGTCTCCACTATTTCTTCTTTTCTTTAGACTAGCCAAACCCAAGTCTTGCAACCGTTCGTATGTTTTAGTCTCCAGGCCTTGGATCATCTTAGTTGCTCTTCTCTGATTTTTTTTTCTAGACTCTCAATATCTTTTTTGTGATATGCTGACCAAAATTGGCTGCAGTGTTCCAGGTGTGGCCTCACTAGGGTTTTATAAAGCGGTACTAATACTTGATCTTGATTCTATCCCTGTTTATGCAACCCAGGATTGTATTAGCTCTTTTGGCTGCTGCTGCACACGGCTGGCTCATAGTCAAGAAGTCTAAAGTCTTAAAGAGACCAATGTTGGACAGCCCTGGTCTAGGGCCTCTTGCTTGAGCAAGGGGCTGGACTAGAAGACCTCCAAGATCCCTCCCAACTCTTTTATTCTGAATTTATTCTGTATCTGCTTCCAGTTTTATCTAATCACCTTCAATGTCACCTTCTTTTTAAGGTGGATCTTTGCACGGTGAGGATGAGTCAGCTCTCCAGGAAAAAAATTGCTCTGTTAATGGGGATTTAAATATTTCAGCAGATGCATTGGGGGAAATTGTCAACAGGAAATGAACAGTTAGTCCAAAAACTTTCCAATTCCTTGTTGTTAGCTTAGCCAGAGGCAGCCTTGCCAGTTCCTTCCATGGAAGAGTCCACTCCTGGTTTTCCTTCCAACATTAAATTCAGCAATTGATGAACTAAATACACTGATCTTGAAATTTATTTGGCAAGGGGAAAAAAAAAAGCCAGAATTAGATTGAAAATGCTACGAGAAGCGAAAGAAAATGGAGGATTTGGCCTGCCAGATTGGGCCCGGTACTATCAAGCATGTGCACTAACATGGATAAAAGAATGGATAACCCTTAGACATAAAAGATGACTATATCTAGAAGGGCATGACCTGCAACTTGGATGGCATGCCTTTCTACCGGTATGAGAAGAATAAAATACATAGATACTTTCAAAACCATTATATAAGAAACGCACTTCTTCCAGAATGGGAAAAGGTAAAAGCGAAAATTTACATGAAAATACCTGGATGGCTTTCAACAATGGAACGTTTGTTCACCCAAACCTAATTAAAACTATGAGCAAATTGTGACTTATAAAGAGACTGGACAGCCATTTGTCCGAAATGGTGTAGGGTTTCCTGCCTGAGCAGGGGGTTTGACTAGATGACCTCCAAGGTCCCTTCCAACTTTACTATTATTATTATTACATTTGGAATATTGAAGGAAAACTAAAATCTAGACAAGAACTAGAAGAACAGGGTATTGATCTATTGTGGTGGCCACAGCTGCAAATTCAAACGAGATATGAAAAAGATGCTAAAACATCTGGATTCTATAAAAAGCATGCCTGGCTGAGGAATTCTGGGAGTTGAAGTCCACAAGTCATAAAAGAGCCAAGTTTGAAGACCCCTGCTCTAAAATAACACAGGCAGTAGCTTACACAGAAAACCTATCTAAAATGTTTTATAGATGGCACCTACTACCTGTAATGTCTTTAAAAATATGCCTAGCAATTGTTGAAAATGTAGACAAACAACCAGGCACATATTATCATCTTTGATGGACTTACCCTAAGGCTAAAAGATTCTGATCAAAAATACATCTAGTTAGAGCAGTGGTTCTCAACCTTTTTAATGCCACAACCCCCAACCGGTCGTAAGTCAAGGACTACCCAATCGGTCGTAAGTTGAGGACTACCCAACCGGTCGTAAGTCGAGGACTTTCCCTGCCCGGGAGCACCGCACATGCGTGGTGCCACCACCTCCGCCGGCCGAGGCGTAGCTGGCAAGCGGCAGAGACAGTGCAGGCCGACCACCGGCTGGGCCACCAGCTGGCCCAGCCCAAGGGAGGTAAGGCACCCGCCAGGCCCCATGTGCGCCAGCAACCCTCCCTGCGCCCATTGGCCTCCCACCCCTGGCCCTCTTTTACTTACATTTTTAGTAGTTGCTCAGCAGGGAGGGGTGGAAGCTTCCAGACAGCTCGCCTTCACTGCAGACAACTTGCAGCACTGTTTGCAGAATGGGACTTTTGGCGGGCTCAGCAGGGCAGAGACAGCCTGGACAATTCCTATTGGCTTTTGAAAGCCAATAGAATTAGACTCTATTCAAGAGAGTCTATTCTATTGGCTTTCAAAAGCCAATAGAATAAAAGGGAGTAGCACAGCTAAGGAAAAGGGGGGGAAAAATGGCGGACTGCGTTGTTTGGCGACCCCCGTGAAATGGTCGTTCGACCCCAAATGGGGTCCCGACCCACAGGTGGAGAATCGCTGAGTTAGAGAAAATGATAAAAAAAAACCATGTAGATTTTAAGCCAGAATTATTTCTGTTTGGTATCATTGCCGGAAATTGTGAGAAAGAATATGTATATTTAATGTTGCATGTATTAATGGCGGCAAGAATCGTATTTGCTCAATCTAGGAAAGATGAAGAATTACCAGCAGAGGAAGAGAGAATTCAGGAAATTTTGGACTGTGCAGAAGTGGACAGACTGGCATTGAAAATGAAAGAGAAAGAAGATTCAGATTACTTTAGAACAGGGGATACATTTTATCAATGGCTAGAAAAACGAGGCAGGAATTCTGGGAGTTGAAGTCCACAAGTCATCAAAGGGTCCTAGTTCCCTCCCGCTGGCTGAGGAATTCTGGGAGTTGAAGTCCACAAGTCATCAAAGGGCCAAGTCTGAAGACCCCTGGCTTAGAGTAACAGCTGGAGAGTCCAGCTCCAGGAACTATCAACCAACAGTTTTGCAGCTGTTGTTAAAGGGGATGCGATACTGACTGCCTGACTTGAAGTCCACAACGTTCAGGGTGCTACAGCAAATCACGGAGGCCGTCCGGCCCCGTCTCCAGCCATTTGTTAATCACGCAGTGTAAGGCTGGCATCTAACCTTGAAGATGCCAAAATGACAAAGCGCGCTTTGTGGCACCACCACACAAACTCATCTCTTTCATCTGCTAACGTTTCCCACAAGGACATCAGGGAGAAGGTCATTCTGCACAACGGAGCCAGAGGTTCTGCTCCTTGCCCCACAGACGTCCCTGGGAGAAGGTCTGGGACAAGCGGCCGCAACGACTACGTCTCTGCACAAATCACTCTGGCTGGGATGCCCAGGCCATAATCCCAGAGAGGAGGTGGCTATGACAGTCTCCTTCCTGTGGACCCCGTCAGGCCCAGCAGCTCTTGATTTACTCTGGAGTGTAATCTCTTTCTTTCTTTTTTTCTTTCTTTCTTTCTTTCTTTCTTTCTTTCTTTCTTTCTTTCTTTCCTTCCTTCCTTCCTTCCTTCCTTCCTTCCCTTCCTTCCATTCCCTTCTCCTCCTTCCTCCCTCTCTCCTTTCCTTTTCTTTCTCTCTTCCTTCCCCTCCCCTCCCTCTCTTCCTTCCTTCCTCTTTCTTTCTTTCTTTCTTTCTTTCTTTCTTTCCTTCCTTCCTTCCTTCCTTCCTTCTTTCCCTTCCCTTTCCATTCTCCTCCCTCCCTTTCTCCCTCCCTCCATTCCCTTCCTTCCCTTCTCCTCTCTCCCACCCCTCCATCCCTTTTTCTCTTTCTTTCTCTTCCTCCCTCTCCTCCCCTCCCCTTCCTTCTTCCCTCTCTCCATCCCTTTTTTTCTTTCTTTCTTTCTTTCTTTCTTACTTACTTTCTTTCTTTCTTTCTTTTTCTTTCTTTCTTTCCTTCTTTCCATTCCCTTCCCTTTCCCTTCTCCTCCCTCCCTCCTTTTCCTTTTTCTTTCTCTCTTCCTTCCCCTCCCCTCCCCTCCCTCCCTTCCTTTTTCTTTCTTCTTTCTTGTTTTCTTTCCTTCCTTCCTTCCCTTTCCGTTCTCTTCCCTCCCTTCCTCCCACCCTCCCTTCCCTTCCGTTCCTTCCCTTTTCTCTTTCTTTCTCTTCCTCCTCTCCCCTCCCTCCCTCCCATCCTTCCTTCCTTCCACCCTCTCTCTCTATCTCTCTCTCTCCTCTTTCTTTCTTTCTTTCTTTCTTTCTTTCTTTCTTTCTTTCTTTCTTTCTTTCTTTCTTTCTTTCTTTCTTCTATTCCCTCCCTCCCTCACCATCTCCTGGTAATTGGCTCAGTCACCCAACCAGCATTCATGCCCAAGGCAGGATTACAGCTCACCAGCTGGGTGACTTTGGGCCAATCCCTGGGAGACCGTGAGTTCTAGTCCTGCCTGAGGCACGAAAGCCGGCTGGGTGACTTTGGGCCAGCCCCCTTCGGTCTCCCAGCCCAACCTACCTTGTAGGGTTGTTGTGGGGAAAACAGGAGGAGGAAGCTATGCGGGAGACATTCACCTGCCTTGAAAAATAATAAAGGAGGGAGATAAATAAAGAAATCATAATCAATAAAGATTGGACAGCCCATCTCTCTCCCGGATTGAATACCGATTCCTGCCTCGGGCAGGGGGTTGGGCTAGATCAGGGCTTTTCAACCCATGGTACGGGTACCACCGGTGGTACATTGGCACCTGGCAGGTGGGACGTGACCATTCTAGAAAAGGGGTAGCGGGGGAGGGGAATGAGCTGAACTGGGGGCAGCACCGCACAAGCCTGAGCGAGAGACGGCTGGAGCTGCAGGGTTGTCAGGGCTCAGCAGAAGCGCCAGGATCAGCGCCAGGCTCCAGCTGGAGCTCAGCACTGATCCTGGCGCTTCTGCTGTACCCAGAAGAAGCACCAATCAGTTGGAAAGCAGCACTGATCCTGGTTCTTCTGCTGAGCCCAGAAGAAGCGCCGATCAGCTGGAATGTTGCAGCCTCTCCAGGGTCTTGTGATTTACATTCAGAGGCTTGGCAACTGATTCCTATGTATGACGGTCACAGTGTCCCAGGGTCATGGGAAGTGACCAAAACCTGCTGCAACCACCCAGCAGACGGGGTGGGGGGGAATAAAAACCAAACACCCCCCCCACCCCACTCCCGCTGCCAATCCCCAACAGAAATGCTCACAACAATGAAAACCTCGGACAGGAGGAAGAGCACCGCTGGGTGGGCAGGCAGGGGTCTTGCTCGGCTGTGGCTTGGGGGGCACTTTTTTCAGGGCCATTGTCACTTCGAACAGTCACTAAGCGAACTGTTGTAAGTTGAGGAATACCTGTACTTTATCACTTTTTTCCTTTTTGGGGGGGGTCATCAAGTTTTGACACCTTGCCAGGCGACTGGTGGTCCTCGGATGTTGCCATATCCTGAAAGTGGTACAATGGGTGAAAAGGTTGAAAAGCCCTGGACTTCCTAACAGGGAGGACAATTAACCAGTGGAACAGAAGTTGCCTCCAGAAGTTATTGGCACTTCATCACGCGAGGTTTTTAAGAAGAGACTGGGCAGCCACATGTCTGAAATTTTATTTATTTTATTTTTAAAATTTATAAGCCGCCCCACTCCCGAGGACTCTGGGCGGCTAACAATAAAAAACACATAAAACATAACAAAACAAACAGTACAAGAACAGTCATCCAGGGGTCAGGTTTTATAAACCCCAGGCCTCCCGGAAAAGCCAGGTCTTAAGCAGCTTGCGGAAAACCAACAGGGTGGGAGCGGTCCTAATCTCCGGGGGGAGCTGGTTCCAAGACGTGGGCGCCATCACAGAGAAGGCCCTCCTCCGTGGCCCTGCCAAATGGCACTGCTTGGCCGACGGGACCTGAAGGAGGCCCAGCCTGTGGGATCTAACCGGACGAAGGGAACTATGACGTAGTAGGCGGTCTCACAAGTAGCCTGGCCCTGAGCCATATAGGGCTTTAAAGGTAATGACCAACACCTTGAATTGGACCCGGAGACCAATAGGCAACCAGTGCAGCTCACGGAGGATAGGTGTAACGTGGGTGTATCGAGGAACACCCGCTATCACTCGCGCGGCTGCATTCCGGACCAACTGTAGTCTCCGAATACTTTTCAAGGCTAGCCCCATGTAGAGCGCGTTGCAGTAGTCCAGATGGTATAGGATCTCCTGTTTGAGCAGGGGGTTGGACTAGATGACCTCCAAGCTCCCTTCCAGCCCTGTGATTCGAGGAGTCTCTCCTTTTGTGCACCACTTCTGTTCTGTGTCGTAGGACTGAAGGCTGCAGAGGATGCCAGCAAACCTGTCTGTGTCTCGGGTTCACTTCTCCCCCCCCCCTTTTACCGCAATGCCATCCCTTCTCTGCCCTGCCAGTCAGTCTCCCCCACTTCTTGGCACGGGCTCCTCCATTTCGCGGGGCTGCCCCTTGGCCCAAGAAACCGCTCAGGATGAGTCAGAGACATCCACCCGCCTCGCAGCGTCTGACCCCAGAATTTCTCCCAAGGGCCTTCGCACAGAAGGAAAACAACCTTCCAAAAAGGGGAGATTTGGGCACTGCCACTGCCCCCTCCCCTTCTCTCTGGCACCCCTTCCTCCCTAGCCGAGTGGGCAGGAGAACAAAAGCTCTCAAACGGTGACCTTAGCCAAACCACGCAGCTTCCAGGAGAGACGGGCAAATAAGTTTGGCCAGGAAGGTGATGGCAGTCTTCCAATATTGGAAGGGCTGCCACAAAGAATGGGGGGGTGGGGGGGTTTCCACCTCTTCTCCAAAGCCCCTAAAGGCCGGACAAGAAGCGACGGATGGAAACCGACCGAGGAGAGAAGCAACCTGGAATTAAGGAGAAATTTCCTGACAGTGAGGACAATTAAGCCTTGCCTCTAGAAGTTGTGAATGCTACGATACTGGAAGCCTGATTTCCAGAAAGCGTGGCAGACCGCAGGAAGCATTTGCGCTTCAGATGGAGATGCAGACAACACAAGACTCGTCCCCATCACCCTGCGCCCGTCTCCATCCGCGAAGGGACCCAGGGCAGAAGACATTCTGCAGCCAAGAAGGCTCCATGCCCATTTGCACCACTCAGGTGACCCTGAGGACACAGGTGAACCTGCAAGTGGCCTCAAGGACCCTCTAAAACAGACGTGTAAACACAAGGCCCGGGGGCCGGATGCGGCCCGCAAAGTGGTTTCATGTGGCCCGCGAAGCCATCCTGGAAACAGTGAGGGAACGGCCCCCGCTGCCTTGGCCCTGGCAACTGACTCATATTTATGATGGTTGCAGCGTCCCACGGGGGGGGGGGGGGTGTCACATGAAAGCCTTTTGCAACCTTCGGACAAGGCAAGTCAATGGGGGAAGCCATTGACTTTACGACTGTTGGACTAACTAACTGAATACCACTTTACAAGACCTTGGTAAGGCCACACTTGGAATGCTGTATCCGGTTTTGGTCACCACAATGTAAAAAAGATGCTGAGACTCTAGAAAGGGTGCAGAGAAGAGTGACAAAGAGGATCAGGGGACTGGAGGCTGGAATTGGGTAGGTCTAGTTTAATGAAGAGAAGGACGAGGGGGGACATGATAGCAGTCTTCCAATATTTCAGGGGCTGCCCCAAAGAAGAGGGAGTCAAGCTATTCTCCAAAGTGCCTGAAGGCAGGACAAGAAGCAACGGATGGAAACCAATCAAGGAGAGAAGCAGCCTGGAACTAAGGAGAAACTTCCTGACAGTGAGAACAATTAACCAGTGGAACAATCTGCCTCCAGAATTGGTGAATGCTCCAACACTGGAAGTTTTTAAGAAGAGACCGGACAGCCATTGGTCCGAAATGGTAGAGGGTTTCCTGCCTGAGCAGGGGGTTGGACTAGATGACCTCCAAGGTCCCTTCCAACTTTATTGTTATTATTGAGATTCACTTAAGAACTGTGGTGTAAAATGGGGCAAAACTCACTGAACAACTGTGCCCCTCTGTGTATTTTAAGTGGAGGACTACCTGTACACAGAGTAGGAGTTTGAAAACAAGCTAAAGGTGCTGCAGTTTTTAATTAGTTTTTTTTGTTTGTTTGTTTGTTTCTTCGCAAGTTGGGCAACGGGTGACTTCAGGAAGTGATACAGACTCAGCCCAACTTGCTAACGTTGGCTTTTCTGCTATATCCATGCAGGTGCTCTGGTTATCTTCCTTCCCTCCCTCTCTCCATCTTGCAGAGGGCGATCCATGTTTCTAGTCCCTTATCTGCTCCCATCACAGGCCGGGAGTCCGTGATTTACTTCGATGGATCATAGATGGAGGGAAGAGTCCCTGGCTTGGTGCAGAAAGCGATGGCTTCTTCCAGCAGTCCCTGGTTGTGTTGGTGTTCAGGCTCCTGATTGGAAGCCTCCCCCCCCCCCCCAGTGTCTTTCTCGTGTTCTGTCTGGGATCCAGCTTTCAGAGTGATGTATTGCCACGGAAAGATAATTATTCTCCTGATCTTTGTGGTCTCAGAGATGTTGTCTTTATCCCTCATAATCTGACTTACATTTGTCACTGGCCCGACCACCCCCCCCCCACCAACCCCGGCCTGCGATTTAAGTGCTTCTATCCCTCTTCATCTTTATCTCCTCTGGAGCCCACAAAAACAAAAGCCATTTGCCACCTTGATTTGTTCATTGTCAACTGTGCATTCGCCAGTCAAGTCAGTGGGCAGTGGCTTTTGTGTTGACATTGAACAGTAACCCCGAAATTGGTTTGTTTATTTACTATTTCTTTCCTTCCCCAAGTTCCCCCTTCCTTCCCCTTTCCTCCCCACCCCTCCCTCGTTCCCTGCCTCCCTCCCTCCCTCCTTCCTTCCCTCCCTCCCTCCCTTCCTCAATATCAACCTTCCTTCTTTCTTTCCTTCCCCTTTCCTTCTCCTCCTCTCCTTCCTTTCCTTCTTTCCTTCCTTCCCTCTTTCCCCTTTCCTTCCCCTCCCTCCCTCCCTTCCTTCCTTCCCAAAGATCAACCTTTCCTTCCCCCTCTCCCTTCCTCTCTTCCTCCCTTCCTCCCTCTCTTCCTTGCTTCCTGAAGATCAACTGTTCTTTCTTTCTTTCTCTTTCTTTCTTTACTTCTTTCTTTTTCTTTCTCTTCCTTCCTTCCCCTTTCCTTCCCATCCCTCCCTCCTTCCTTCCCTCCCTCCCTTCCTAAACATCAACCTTCTTTCTTTCCTTCCTCCCCTTCCTTCTCCTCCCTCTCTCCCTTCTTTCCTTCCTTCCCTTTTCCTTCCCCTCCTCCCCTTCCTTTCTTCCTCAAGATCAACCTTCCTTCTTTTCTTCTTTCCCCTTTCCTTCCCCCCTCTCCCTTCCTCTCTCCCCCTCCCTCCCTCCCTCCCTCTCTTCCTTGCTTCCTGAAGATCAACTGTTCTTTCCTTCCTTCCTTCCTTCCTTCCTTCCTTCCTTCCTTCTTTCTTCCTTTCTTTCTTTCTTTTTCCCTTCCTTCCTTCCCATTTCCTTCCCATCCCTCCCTCCTTCCCTTTCCCCTTTCCTTTCCCCCTCTCACTTCCTTTCTCTCTCTCCCTTCCTTCCTCTCTTCCTTGCTTCCTCAAGATCAACTGTTCTTTCTTTCCTTCCTTCCTTCCTTCTTTCTTTCTTTCTTTCTTTCTTTCTTTCTTTCTTTCTTTTTCCTTCCTTCTTTCCCCCTTCCTTCCCATCCCTCCCTCCTTCCCTTTCCCCTTTCCTTCCTCCCTTCCCTTCTTCCTTTCTTTTATTTCCCTTCCCTTCTTTTTTTCCCCCTTTCTTAATGTGTTTTTTTTTTCCTTAACAAATCCAGCCTCTAGCTGAATATTTCAAAACCTCCCATTTGCATTCCTGCTCTCATTTCTGGCTGTGCCATTCCTCACATATATATAATATATATATATATATATATATATATATATATATATATATATATATATATATATTCACTCTTGTGATCGAAATAGCTACGGCGATCACACGCACGCACGGCGCTTCCTTTCTTAATTTAAATCATTCTGATCCCTCCCCCCCCACTCACTTCTTAGTAGAACGTCTACTAACCCTTGTAAAGATCTTTCCCACAAAACCCCCAGCACTTCGACACACCCCAGAGCTGACACACCCAATTCCATCACAGCGCCGCACAATACCAGGCCTTGTGGCAGTGCGAGAGCTTTTCTCTGCCGGCACAATGCAAAGCTCTCGTAGAACAAAAAAAAAAAAAAAAAAAAGTCACCGCACACAACACCCGAATGGCAAGATCACCATGGAAATTGCAGCCATAATCACTTATCTAGTTCCAGGCTATTCACCATGAAACCGACTAGCCGGAGCAGACCGTAATTTTGGGGCTCCCAAATTCTTTGGCCAATGTAGACTTCCAAAGATGATTAGGAAACTGGACGCTACTTTTTCTGCCCCCCACTCCCTACCCCAACTCTGAGACACACAGCTAATTTTCTGCTTCGGTGGTGACTTTGGGAGAGAAAAATCTCTCCTTCAATAGAGGAGAAATTGGGAGACAATTGAAAGGATTTCTCTCTAGAATCTCTGATGTAGCAGAGCGAGCATCCAGCATCGCTTTTCCTGGCCAGATCTAAGCTTGATGCTTGCCAGAGGAAGGGAGGGGGGGGGACAAAATATCATACTAGAAATGCCAAATGGAAAGCAGGAGCAGAAGAGATACGTCCCCCCCCCCGCCCGTCCCACCAGGGATATGAGGGCCCTGTGGGGGGGGGGGTTCTTACCTTGCAACAGGACCTGTGCCTCCCAGTCCGGTGCTGGCCTTTGCAGGAGAAGCTGCAGGAGTGGAGGCTTTACTGGCAGCGCCCCCCCAGCCCCCCAGCCCCCAGATACAAACACACCCTCATGACCAGCCTTAATTTATTTACAGGGACAGGCCTTGCCGCTTCTGGCCCCAGAGATGATCTTGACCCTTTGTGACTGGATTCACTCCAGGCTGAATTTCCTTGGCACGCTAGCTAGCCACACACTGTGAAGGAACGGATCACGCTCCGGGGGGGGGGCGTGGGGGGGCGTGTGTTTGTGGGTTTGTTAGTGTGTGTGGATTGCAGGACTTTTCCGGAGGTTCGGGAACGGGACCAGGACTCAGCCCCCCTTTTTCCCAAAGGGGCCTCTCTGCAGAACCCCTTCTCCGTCGATCTGGGCTTTGGTGTCCTGTAACCTTGGTGGGCCTCTGCCCCGCTCAACGGGCTGCTGGCACCGACAGCCTGGACCGGGCCGAAGCGGAGTAAGACGGCCAGCCCATCCTCGGTCGCGGGTGTGTGTGGGGGGGGAGTATCACGCAGCCGGGCGAGCGGAGGGCTGATTAGGGGGGGAGGAGGGAGCCCCACCCAGCCTTTGAGGCGGGGCAGCGGGGCGAGAGGGGAAAGGAGGGGAGGGGGCGTGCCAGGGAGGGGGCGCGGCCCGGAGGCCCCTCCCGCGAGGAGGCCTGGAGGGCTCGCTCTCCGGCTGCAGCCCCCCCCTCCACGCCTGCTGGGGGCGGCGCCGCAGAGGGGGCGGGGTGGGCGCTGCCCGGCCTGGCCGCTCCCCTCTTCCTCCTCCTCCTCCTCCTCCTCTTCCTCCTCCTTCTCCGCCGCCGCTCGGGGCTCCCCCCGCGCCCGTCCCTCTCTGCCTGGTCCGCCCGGAAGTCTGGGGCTGTGCCTGCCTTCTCCCTCCCCCTCCCCGCCAACATGGCCGCGAAGTCGGATGGCCGGGCGGCCGCCGCGCCCCGCTGCTCCTCGCCCGCGCCGCTCCTGCGCCGGGAGGGCTCCGAGGCCGGCAGCCTGCCGCGGGGGGCGCGACGGGGCCCGGGCAGCCCCGCCGCCGCCTCTTTCTGCTCCTCCGCCCCGCCGGCCTTCCATCCTCCTCCTCTTCCTCCTCCTCCTCCTCCTCTTCCACCCAGCGCGCTGCCCGTCCCGGTGCCCGGGCCGAGGGGCCGCGCCTACAGCCTGCGGGACTGCTGCTGGGTGCTGGGCGCGCTGCTGGTCTTCTTCTCGGACGGCGCCAGCGACCTGTGGCTGGCCGCCGACTACTACATGCAGGGCTGCTACTGGTGGTTCGGGCTGACGCTGCTCTTCGTCCTGCTCCCCTCGCTGGTGGTGCAGCTGCTCAGCTTCAGGTGGTTCGTATACGACTTCGCCGCCGCGCCCGCCGCCGCCTTCAGCACCAGGGACAGCGG